GCAGGAAGTTGCAGAAGGAATTCAGTCCTGGCATTTCCTAACCTTTTTTGACCAACTTTATTCCATAATGTCTTCTGGAACAGGAGAGAAGGGCCAAATTCAGAGAGAGTTTGTAGAACTTCTTACTCTAATGCTTTATTTTATCTATAATGCTCTACTTTTTGTTCCAATATAGATTTTAGTCATTATGCTGGCTTCTGTATTTTGCCTAGCAGTTAGGTTTTCTTGCTCCAAGATGTAAATTACTGTGACTTCTGGAGAGCAATACCGATTAAGCACACCTCTCTTGCCTTGTATTTCACTGAAAACAGTAACTAACTTGTCTCTTAGGTAGGCCTAGCTCACAGGTGGACAGTTAAGCTATTTGAGCTCAGCTGTCTACCGTCACTGGATACTGAATTCTTGCTTTACTCATCAACACCTAAGCTGAGAAATAGATGGTCCCTAATACCTTCATAATGAAGTACAAGCTCACAAGTATAGAGTGTTGTATTCAATCCTATCCCAATCTGCAGGCCAAAAATCAAGAGGACAGCAGACATGATGAACGTAGCTTCTGTGCAGCTGGAAGTAACTACATTTCATGTTAGTGCATTGCATGCACGTTATTTTGACGGTGACTCCATCCACATTCCTGACCAGGTGAGAGCAGTAGAGTACAGATTCTGTTTAAGCCCCATGTACCCACAATATATGTCACACTAAAGTGCTGCTGTAGGTACCAATAGCAGTCCTTGCTGGATTATGACATGTTGAGTTCCTAAGATATGTCCAGTTTAAGATGCCCCATGCGATAAAAATAATCCAAAGTATGTATATTTTTGTCATACTAGAATGAAAATGTCCATATTTAGAGAATCATTTTCCCATATCTCCTTTATCCTTTCTTTACCAACATTATTATAAAACTTGATATTGAGTCCCCCACATATTGTGAGGCCCTAAGATGTAGTTTACATATCTTAAGCCTAAATCCGGCACTGATAGCAGTAAATGAGTGCTGAGAAACACATTCTGTTCATGAGCTTCTGTAGGCATGGACAAACGTTTGCTTGAAGCAGTTTCAAAAGGAAGAACTTGCTGCCTGGGAGCACGCAGCAGCTGTTACACTGTAAGTGCTCCATGTGCAAGAGCCTGTTTCATCCAGGGTTAAAATTCAGGTGATAGAGCTCAATTATCACTACAAGCTTGTACACTTGAAATTCTATCCATGACCATGACCTATAATCTACTTAACACCTCTAATCACTTCCCATAAGAGAGAATTTATTAAAATGTGATCAGGTTTACACTTGTTGATATGGCACTGATTTTACTTTTCATCATTAGTTTACATGATACAACAGACTGTTAGGAAGTAGACGAGAGAAAGACAACACTCCATCTCTTCTTGTATGTTATGCACATAAAATAAGAGCCAAGGTTTCTGACAATCCTATCCACCCACACTTCCTCCCGAATTAAAAAATGTAATATCCTCATAAAAATAGCACAGCTATTCAATTATGTCTGGAATTAAATCAAAGAAAGTTCAGGGAATAACTGCAATATACCGTCTTAATTTTTTCTTGTAGTTTTGAAGATCATTGGTTCTTATTGTGTCATTTTCAGTTGGATAAAGTAACAGTATCAACATTTAATTTGTTTTATGTATAATACAGCATATGCCTTCTCATAGGGCCAGCAAAACAATATGAGATGTAACTTTACTGTTTCAAATGTACAACACAAAACCATAGCTTTTACTGCGCAGTCCATGGGCAGTGGGAAAAGTTTACTTGGTGCCCTTGTACTTTGTGTATATAATGTAAAATTAAGCTCCAGGCCCAACTTTTCCAGGGAGCACACATGAAATTTAAAATCTGTAAACACAAACCTCTTCCCTGAGAGTATCAGGTAAATCTTACCTATGTCAGATTAAAGTTTCTCGGTGATGGGAAGGGGATCCCAAACCTGCAGTGTGATGAACTTCTGTAGAAAGGATGTGTGTCTAGTTTCTGAGTAATGAACTGTAGTTAAGAACTGCACAACAGAAAAAGCAGCCAGAGCTGTTTTTCTCAGCAACCCCTTTTTTTTTTTTTTTAATAAAGATGTAGCCTTCAAATTTAATAATCGTGTAGAAGCAGTTGGCCTTTGCTCTAAAATTATTTTACTTTGAAAACAGTGTGGTGATCTGTGCTGATTCCTCATGACTATGTGGTTATTCAGTGCTACAGAATAGTTAAAACTGCCCTTTTAGAAAGAATACATGATTTGATTAAAAGACTTAATCAAATTTCAAAACCAAAAAAAGGGCAATCATGAAAGTATAGGGTCCCCATATGCACAGTCCTCTTCAATAGCAAGATTATATTCTGCTCCTTTTCCACCTTGGTAGGCACTTGTTACGATCCTTAGCCAGCCCCTTTCACCCTGAAATAAATTAATTTGCATTAGTATAGACAATGAAGACTTTACCAGCCTAGTCCTCCTCAGCTTCCTAAAAATATCCCATGAGCACAGCTTTGGCAGGGCAAGGATGTCTTGGCTGTGAAGTTTTAGGTTTATAAATGGGGTCCACAAAGCAAGCTTGCTGGAAGTAGCAAACTGCTTTGCTGAACTTGCATGTGGGCAGCTAGAAATTCCTTTATCCCTCCCCCTCTTCCTCCTGACATCCAAAAGACTTGATTTGATTTATGACTCCAGTAGCTCTTTACAGTGGGCTTCAACTGGAGTTCCATGTCCATTTGGGACTCAGAGGTGACACTGCACAAAATATGCTTTTCTACTGCCTGATGTGTATTACCTGTGCAGACTTCTGTTCAATTTTATCAGATTTTTTTTAAGTTGTTAGCCATGTTCAAAATTGTAAATTCATCCACAGCTGTTTCAAAGGCTTATTCTTACTCCAAACAAGCTATTCTTACAGTTTGAAACGTGGTTTTTAAAAGATAAGCACAATTCTGTTTGCAATCATTTTGTGAACACAGTTCCTCCCTCTTTTCCTTACCCAAGGTTCACCCCAGGAGTTACGAACAATCCAGTATTCAGTTCCATTTTCCTCACCCCATCCAGCCACTGATACAATATGGTTCACTGTAGGAGAAGGGTTGTACTCCAAATAAAGTCCTCCAGTGTAAGCATCCAGCTTTGGTGTAGCCATTATGCCACAACTGTAACAAAGCAGAGACAACATCCTTATTTGAAAATAATTTTTATGATGGGCTGAGCAAGAACAACAGCTTCCAACAAATAAATTAACTTAGTCTAGTTTCACAAACATTACTAAATAGATATTAGTCAATAGCATAAGATGCTAGCAAATGTTTGGTATGTATTGCTCTCTAAATACCAAAGGCTGCATGATGAAGAAACAATGGATCAGGCTCAGTAAGCTTCACATGTTTCCAACTTATCTCAATAGTCATTGTAGAATTCCTGTTCTTCTTACGTCATAACACTGTTTATTTACCTGATTGGACCATTGGCATAGATTTCTGCCATCATTTTTTGCCTCCCACTGACGGAGCCATAGTCAGCAACTTTCCAGAGTGTGTAGTTCTTTATCACATGGCATTCCCCAAAAGTAACACACGTTCCACACTGGTTAAACTTCTTACATTCTACAAAACGCGATAGATACTTCATTAAATAAGTTTAATTAAGAAAATGCTATCTTGCAATGATCAAGTAAATTTTATAGTAAACCAATGGTTTGTTTTGTTTTTTAAGAAAGTTCCTTATGGGATAGAGACTTAAATGGGATTAAATAATTGACAAGTTATTGTTGTTTTCTCTGCCTGGTTGGTTCCTCAAGTTAAATAAAATTGCTAATTAATATGATCTCCATAATATGTACTCTTTCAAGGATGTTTGATCCCTTACTGTACAGTGCCTTCATCATGGGTGTTTTTTTTATCATTGGGTACAATACTACTTTCTCTCTGAGCTGACATACAGGTGCACGCACACAAAATGACAAAAAAGACTGAAGTTCTGTTCCGTTTAGCTCAAGATGACATTTCTGAGTATTCCACACCACTACACATTGAAGACTAATGGGATCAAATTTAGCAACCTTGGGAAGGAAATGCTTGTTCAGACTTGTTGATAATGCACTGCCTTGTCTGATTCTGGAGCCAAAACAAAGCACATATTTTAAGAGACCTTGCTGTCTTATTCAGAAAGCAGAAGCTACATTGCCTGGCAGCGGTAGGAAAGAGCTAAAAAGGGGCATATTAACCATATTGTACACAAATTCCTTTAGGCTGGGATTAAACCATGCAGAATAAAAGGAAATAGTAACAAGTGTTTGAAAGTTGTTGCCATACTTTGGTCTTTGGCTTGGTAGTTGTTACAGGTTTCATCTGGAATGCCATGGTCATGTGCATACATCCAAACACCTGAGTGATCTCCACCTTCACAGGACCCTGCGTTGGCACAGTCGATAACATTCTGAACTGAGAGGTAGGCAGAAGGCCACGCACCTTTTCTCTTAATGTTGATGCGATCTGTGAAAATGAGAGACTTAGCAGTTGGTGCTTTAGTTTTAATACTGTTTTAAACTAAGCATTGATCGAATACTCTAATTTTGTCTCCTTAGTTGCACTTGCAGCTTGACATTTATGGGTGCAAAAACCTCTGACACATACTGAGTTGTTAAAAGAACTGTGACCCAGTCTGGTAGACCAGCTGAGAGTATTTGCATTGTGCAGATGCAGCTAAGGTTTCCCATTAGAGGTTTGGTTTAATGTGTCCATATAGAGAAATAATAAACAAGATCAATTTCAAACGTGAAAAGCATTTTTAAAAAACCAAACACACATCACTGGCCAGCTGTGAAAGCTCTCAGATTCATTTACAGCCCTTTGTTTTCTTTATAGCCCTTTTTATCCACAAATCTCAACACCAGTGATGCCCAGCCAGGGTGCCTTGAGGTCCTTTCAAGGGTGTCCCACAATGTTACCATTGCCTGGTGTGCAAACATGATTCACGTGATAAACCCAGAGATTTCAAATAGGAATTTGAGATGTGACAAACATGCTGACTTAATGTGGTCTGAGTTCTCTGCCACAGAAGAACTGTTTTTTGCAGTAAAAAAACCAACTGAAACTAGAAAGGTTGAGAACCAGCCCTTAAAGCTCTTTACCAAGAAGTGAAGTATCACTACCTCTTTTTACATGGAGAAAAGTCAGATGACATTTCAAAGGTCTAACAGGGCTAGGACTGTATGAGTCTGCTTGATTTTAAAATCCAGACTCATCATATATTTAGGCAGCAACAAGCTCTAAGGTCAAGTTTTCAGACAATTTATGGTCATAGCTGGCCTTGCTTATTTTACTGTTACCTAATCCTCCCGGGCAGCTTGCCTTTTTGTCTACCTCAGCTAATTAACTGAAGGGAACAGACTTCAGAACAAGCATTTGCGTGCTGTTTATTACAACTGCAGTTGTGATCCTACAGGAGCCCTTATGCGTTACCACTACTCTTATTAACAGATTTCATGTTTACCTTGATAAATGCTTGGGGAAGTTTTAAAAGACTGAATGCTCCTTTAATTAAGGATGGAGAAAGCTCCCTCCCAACTTTGCTAAAAAATCAAGAAAGGTAAGATTGGATATTC